ATTGTTGGGACGTAAATGCGTTTATGTGGCCACCGTTTAAAAAAAAAAAAAAAAAGCTGGAGAGAGGAACCATGTGTACACCTGCCCCCTTTCTTTTTTCTTTGCAACTCCACAGCAGCAGATGCACACGAGAAAAAAAAAAAATCCTCCACAAGTTCCAGCGACATGAGCATGCCTGTGCACGAATCATCTGTCATGGAGGAGCAAACAACTTTTTTTTTTTTTGGGAGAGAAAAGGAGGAGGGAGAGGAAGATAGTGGGGGGGTCACAGCTAAAGCATGATGTCGAAAAATAGTAGTGTAGGAAATTTCTACCGGCCCTGAACTTCCCATGAGCAAGTGGAGGGGATTCCCCCCACGCGTCTTGGACACTAGTTGGTTTTTACGCAACAGAACCACGAAACTTATATAAAGCTGCTGCGCGTAAAGCTGCTGCTGCTGCTGCTGTGAGCCGCCACACTAAACTGAATTACTGCTAACTTCTTCTTCTTCTTGTCTACCACGCTTCTGTTTTTTTTTTTGTCCCCCACTACCCCCTCGCTCCCAAACCCTCAGGAGGGCCGGGTAAAGGTGGCGGAGAAGACCCCGCCAAGTCCACCGAGCAGGAGGACCGGACTCGACCTCAGATCCTGTCGGGATCGGGCTTCTGCAAGTGGTTCAACGTCCGGATGGGCTTTGGATTTATCTCAATGACCAACAGCGAAGGGAGCCCCGTCGACCCGCCTCTGGATGTTTTCGTCCACCAAGTAAGTTGATGCACCCCCCCCTACTACCCCACCACCACCACCAGCACCTCCTCCACCTCCTCCTCCCTTCTCTCTCCAAAAATAATCACAAAACACACACCAAACATCTGCTTCGTGATGTGTGTGTGTGTATGTGTGTGTGTGTGTGTGTGTGTGTGTGTTCGGCCCTTCACGTGGGGGGGACACATTAAGTTTGTGTTTCACTCCCACTGTACGATGCGGATGTTTTGCATTGACCCAACGTGTTGCTGTGGAATCACACGCTGTCCGTGGGGCTTGAAAGGAAAAGAAAGAGAGAAAACACACACACACACACACACACACACACACACACACACACACACACACCACGTTAAGTTTCCTCTGTGAGCCACATGCGTCCAGGTTTCCCCTCCCTCGCTTCCCTCCGCGCTGTGAGGGGAAGATCCGTCCGTGGTGTGGCCGTGACACGGTTAGTTTCACACTAACGGACAGCGCAGCTCCGCGTCACGAGCAGCCAACATGTCCGAAAAGTTAAAAACACTCCTTCGCACACGCGTGGGTCGTGATGTGGAGCAGCTTTGTGTTTTCTGTTCTGTCACACTGGAGCTCATCCTCTGTGCTGCTGCTGACATGAAGCCGTGGCCTGTTTTCCACCGCATGTGGGCTACTGTTGATTTATTGAGCATGGAGTTCATTTCAGAGGCCTTGTTTTCGGCTGATTCTGCACCAAACAAAGAGCTCCGGAGTCCTCGCTGCTCTCCAGCTTCCCCCTCTCTGTTAAATCGCCCCTCTCTCTTTTTTTTTTACGGTCCTATAAAGTGACTTTAAGGTAGTCGATGAGGAGAGGCGTGTTTCGCCATTTCATCTGACACCACCTCTACAGGAGGTGTCCTCACTGTGGATGTGGTGGTAGAGGGGCAAACAGAGGGGCAGTAGCTGTAGCAGGGGGTCAGATGTTAGCAGGGATGTGGTTCTGAATGGAGAAAAAAGATGCATCTGTTGGTTATTTATCGGATAAATTATGTGGATTACGTGTTTGTGTCCTTTAACATGTTGAGATTTTGGAATTTGGTGCTTTTGATTGTTGGGTTCACCTTTAAATCAGAAAACAAGAAGTACAAGGAAACTGGATCCCAACAATAAATAAACTAGTGTTCAAGATTTACTGCGTTGTTTTACTTTTATACGTTTGCACCACCGGAGTTGTCTTTTAATTGTGTTGCACCTCATGTATGATGACAGTAAAAGCATTCAGTTCTATTCTATTCTGTTCTATTCTATTCTATTCTATGCTAAAGTGCTGTGAGACGACACACGTTGTGAATTGTGTGAATTGTGTAAATTAAATTGAATTAATGTTGGAAATGGTTTGTTGAAGGAGAGGCTCTGACCTGCAGCGGTGGGACGATCTGAGGAGAGAAAAGTGGATCTTTAATGTTGTTTTTGTTCATTTAAAAATTCTAAATTGTTCTCAACATGAAGAAGCTGTTCATCCTCCATTAAACCTGACAAGTATATTTTAAAGTCTAGTTAGCTGCTGCTGCTGCTGCTGCTGCTGATAAAATATATATATTTATAGCTCATTTAAATTCTGCTGTAAACTTGATGATAAAAGATTCATATTTTGCGTGAATAATGTTTCAGCAATGCGCTGACCTTTGCTCCACATACCTCCACAGTCGTGGCGTGAATGAAACGGCACACATCTGATGGTTTTGTTCGCCTTTCGTGTGTCCATGCGGATGCAGTTGTTGATGTGGACCGGGCCAGAGGCTCGGGGTGGTGCACCTCTGCAGCACTAGCAAGCTTCTGATTGATACTCTCACATTGTGACTCATTGATTGACTGCACCGCATCTATCCATAAACTCCATTCTCCTGTCTTTTCCCCACTGGCCAGAGATGGTTGGGAAGTGGATCAGGCCAAGAGAAGTCTGGTGGAGGGTGGTGGTGGTGGTGGAGGGGGGAGAAACAGCCTTAAGAGCTGAGCAGAAGTCAAATAAACGCTGACTGTCTCAGCGGTTTACAGGACAGGAACGAGCATTGTCGCATTCTGCAGGAAGGTTTCGTAGATATTTGACGCTTGAAAGGCTCCGGATTGGTATTCTGATAATAGAGGAGTAGAGATAAATGTTTGCTCGTGGTCGCTGTCAGTTCAGATTTTTCTTCTCTTTGCAGCAGCTATAGTTGAATTTTTTACATATTTTACAAACCTTATAGGTAAATGAAGCAGCAGACATACGGTTTCCCTCCCAGCGTCTCCGGCTATATATGTTTACAACAAGCCAACTGTCATTCAGCACAAAGGAGAAGACTATATGCATTCATAAGCGGAGTGTCATATTGAATGCAAAACACCCCATTCATTTGCAAGAATCTGCATTCATCCATACACTCTCATTAAATCAGTCACTCATTTTCCTCCTCTTATTCTCCCTCCCTGTCAGTCTGTGTGCTAGCAGCCTGAAAGCCCTTTACATGTCCTGATGCCACGTCCAGGTGGAGACGTGCACATTTGGGTGGATTCAAATCTGGAAGCTCCTGTTATATATGTTGCTATTTTATTTTTTTTAAAGCTTGTGATATTACCGATTAGAAATCAGCGGCGTGCTAACAAGCACAGACTGTTATTATACAAGAGAGGGTTTGGCTTGACACGGAGGTCGCGCTATGTTTTTTTGCATTTGTGGTAAAAGGTTAGCTCTTAGTGAATGTATATATAATAAAAAATAAAAACCTGCAGATTTATTACTGACCCTATAGAGAGAGAGAGATAGGGCTGAGGTAGGAACGATGGGGAGGGGAAGAGGGAGCATGAGGACAGGAGGAAGGGGGAAGCGAGAGGAGGAGTTTCCCTACGAGAGGGAAAGAGGAGGGATGTGGGAAAAATAAGTGTGGGTGAGGGGTGGTGGTGGTGGTGCAGCGGAGGGGAGGGGAGGGGGCTAGTGGTAGTGGAGGAGGAAAACATGAGTGAGAGGTTGGAAAAAGACGAGTGAGTGGAGGAGGTAAGAGAGGGGAGGAGGAGGAGGAGGAGGAGGAGGTGGTGGTGGTGTGAGTGAGGGTCCCCGCCCGACCACGAGTTCTCTTCCTGGGAGGCCTCTTCATCAGGGCTCCTATCTGATCACTTCCCGTCGGAGGGGACGAGTGCCAGAGCGTAATTAAGCATCTTCACTTTGGGCGATAGCTCTGCTGCTATTTCATTATCTCTGTTTGTCAACCTCCTCTCTACCTGGACTGAGTGGGGTTTTTTTTTTTTCCACTGTGTGTGTGTGTGTGTGAGAGTGTGTGTGTGAGTGTGTGTGTGAGTTCCTGCTGGGACATGGGGGGTGTTCTCTCCTCGGGCATTCTTTAAAAAGAGGAATTTCTTTAAAGACAAAAAGGCAGGAGGGTTGGGTGGGGTGAAGGGGTGTGTGGTGCTGAGGTGGGGGGCTGCTTGCCCTTTGTCGGTAATCAGTTTGAAATGTTGAACAGTTTGCTGCTGCTATTCTCCTGAAACCCCCAGAGTGTGTGTTCAATTTATGAAGCCCCCGTGAGTGTGTGTGTGTGTGTGTGTGTGTGCGGTTCGTACTTTCTGCTCTTAACCGGCGGTTTGTTGATGCCTGCATGTGAACCGTTGTAAGATGTTTTAGGTTGTGAGTGTGCGTGTGTGCACGCTCGAGAGAGTGTGTGTTTTGTGTAGTGAGGTTAAAGTGGGCCCCTAGTGAGATTAACCTCTGGTCCGTGTCACTGTTTGGCATGCAGGCCCCACCCATCTCTGCCTCCAGATAGCCAGTATCAGGCTTTGTGTCTCCTGCAGCCACACTACACCCCCACACACACACACACACACACACACACACACCGACCGACCCACCGAACAACCGACCGACCGACCGACCCGGCTCTCTCTAAAAAAAAAAAAAAGGAGAAGAAGAAGAAAGACTAGTCATGTGACTTCCTTTTGAGGAGCTCGCCACATACAGCGGAGATGATTGGTAATTGGAAAGGTGGCCGAGGAGAAAGCAGAGCAGGGTTCCACACAAGCCCACGATTCACTCAGAGCACAAAGGGAGGTCGTGTGGGTGGAAGCTGACGGTCCAGCGTGTTTGCAAATCTTTAATTCATTTAATTAAAATAAATCTAAAAACACAGAGAGGAGATTTTTTTCCTTCACTTTACCATCAACTCTCCTGGTGGTTGTATTATATGAATGTATATATAAATAAATATATCTGCTTTTTAAATGTGATCTCACACTTTGACAAAAATGTGCAATTTGTGGTTGATTATTTTTTAAATTTCATTTTTGGTTAATCATTTTCTTCATGAATAGTTTCATCATAAAAACATTTAAAATGTGCAGAAACGAACCGAGAACACATCCTTAGATGGTTTTGTTTTTCTTTTTATCCGTCCAGCAGCGTAAAATCTAAATATATTTAATTTACTGTCATATATGGGGAAAACAGCAGCGTAACATTTTCACATTTCAGAAGCACAACAAATAAAAAAATTTTCAAACTGGACGAAGTAATTGTTTTAAAGGATATGCAGCTGTGCGAAGATGTTTTAAAGTTGGTTTATTTGTCTTAAACGGCGTCTAAAATGCATCAAAAATCTGTTTGAAAATGTGGTAATGTGTAGTGAGATTTCATCTAAAAAAAAAAGAAGAGATAAATCTGAATGCGTGTTACACCTTTCAAATAAAATGCATAAGAAGGCGACGTCTACAGATTAGTGGCAAACACCTGAAATCGCTCCGTTTGCTTTGGTTTCTATCTCTTGGTGTCATAATCAGCTGGTGCCGTGTTGAGTTCAAACTGTAGCTGCAACCAAATCAAACAAATAATGAATTTAATAATATTGTGCAAGTTCACCTTGATATTTCTAAAGATCTTATTTTTTTTGACGCCGTACATTCTTGTTGGAGTCTGTTGTGCTGCTTTGTGCTGAAGATGTGAGATAAGTTCAACCTTTTTGGAAGATTATTTCAGTTGTATTCATTAATTGCCGTCAGGTCTCTGGGGGGCGGCGGCGCTT